GCACAAGCTCGGGCTCCTTCCCCACCAGCGAGGTGACATTCCATGTCCCCAGGGCTAGTCTCCGTGTCCAGAGATCGGGTCGTCGGGGCCCCTGCCTTCGACTGCTGCCCGATCCACTGTGCACCAGCTAGAATATATTGGTTGGTATTTAAGACCTTCATACCATAGTCACATGAGGCTGAGATTGTGCAGGGATCTAAATCATACTCACAAAACAATTTATCGTGCCCTGAAAGGGAACCAAACCTTGACCTGCTGTACCAAAGTCAGTGGTGTTTACTAGTGATGCTACCGAAGCATTCTGAACCACTGAGTCAGTATGAAGCAATTGTGTTGAAATGGTTCAGTGTTTTGAAACATTTGATACAATCATATATGGTGACATCTGCTGGCCAAACCTCAACAGAGCATTTGCATGGAACAATAAAGGGCATGGTGTCATGAAACCGTAAGGCACTGTTATGCATGTTTAACAATAAAGGTTCTATGTGCATCTTGAAATGTTTGACTGTTATGTTTTTTAAAGACATTAATAATATATTTGTGTCATCTGAAAAAACTTCTGGACTAGGTTTTTAGGTCGAAGACGTTTCACCTCTAAACCAAGAGGCTTCATCAGTTCTGCCCGACTGGCGTTGAGTTGGAGATATTTATCCCCATCAGTGGTGTTTAAGCCCTTTGATGGCCAACAATGTCCCTTAATGACTGAGTCATTATAGCCCAGTATTGGTGGGTGTTGTTACTTGGCTTTGAACCCACACCTGTGGGCCGACGCCTATTGTCCTGGTGGGCATGTTTGGGCAGAGTGTCTTAGTCCACCACGCCTATTTAGTGAGGTGTGTTCTATTTTTACAAAAATAGCTTCCTTAACACCTCTCTCAAACCAGCGATATTCTATGGAGATCTTAACTTCACTGTCCTCAAACGAATGTCCTTTGTCAGGTGGAGGTGGACTGCTGACTCTGGTCCACCCTCCTGTGTTGGGCCATGCATTTGTGAAGCGGCTGCTTAGTTTCACCAATGTACAAGTCGTTACACTCCTGACTACACTTAATTGCATATACCACATCACTCTGTTTGTCTGGGTGTTTTGTCCTTTGGGTGGACCAGTCTCTGCCGCAGGGTGTTCCCTGGTTTAAAGTTAACTGGGATATTGTGGTTGCCAAAGATCATCTCTGGCATCCTCACGAGTGAATTTGATGTCATCCACAGAGTTTATATGCTTGGTGAAAGCCTCTACCTCCTGGGTCCTCTTTTTCAGGATTCAAAGATTTTTATTTAAAAACAAGGTAATTTCAGCTGCGTTAGGCTTCAGTCTGTTCCTCTTCTTTGTTACTACCTCTCCAGCTTTGGAGAAGACTTTTTCACATGGCACAGGAGTTGCTGCCGTATGAAGATATCATTTTGGCAAGCTTGTAAAGATTAGACCGCTGCCCTTGAGTCCCAGTATTTTAATGGATCTTGTCCTCTGGAGAGGTAGGGCTCAGCCATATAACACTGAGCCTCCACTGTTGCTTCAGCCATTGCATTTTGAACTCTTGAGTTTCACCTGCAGAAAAAGGTGAAACCCATTGTATGTGGTTTTGTATTCGAATGTCTATGTGCCAATGTGAGTGTATAACTGTATGCCAGTTTATCAAATTTTATGTTAATCCTACCTAAACCTCACTCTACCTGGTTGTCAATCATTGAAACTATTGCAATAATGCATGCAAAAACCTTCCTCTCAAAAAACCTACGAAGTGCAGAGGAATTGCGCCTGTTTATAAGCATGGTGAGAGTTTGATAAGCCCGTCCTGTATTCAAAACTGGCGCGATGTATCGCCGATACGCATGTGGCGTCATGAAGCTTCATTTGGGGGAGTCACGTGATAGTATCTGATCTGGTGAAATGATGTATCGATATTGCCACTGCACTTCTGCTTTGAAAGATCAATACTATGCTAAGCCGACTGCTTCGAGCATAACATCACTAGTGTTTACCACCAAGCTGTCCACCTGCTGTATAGGCCCACATTTAGAACTTTTACTGGTTTCTGCTATTGGTTAATGCGGTTTGGCAAGGGAAGGGGGGTGAGGCACACATTTTAATTGCTTAAAACAAAAACATTAAAATTAACATGGTACCACACAAATGGCCACACAGCATCCACATGCGTTTTCTTCAGGAAATGCATTTGTCTGGTTTCCTTTGTCCCCCACCAAAGCACAGACAGCAACAGGACAGAAGGCCCATCTGGGTTAAGTGGGCCAAAGCCTGTTGAATTTAGCAGTACAGAGAGAGAGGGAGGGCTGCAGAGACAGATGTCTGGAGAGGACTGTAATCTGACCTCAATAATCTCAACACTGGTTGTCTCACAGGTTGTTAAAAATCAGATCAACATATAACACAAGTATGAAAACAGACACCTATGTACAGCGCTGTACAGTAACTTCAGTCTCAAACATATTCTTTCAATGTCCAAAAATGTTTTAGGCTTCTAAACTATGGAATTGTTTCTGTTAGAGCCACCATGGATCTGGCAGTTTTTAAATCTTTACTTAAGACTTATTCGCCATGGCTTTTAACACTTAGTGGAGTCTGATATTCTGTTTAATTTTGGTTTTATGTCACCTGTATTTAATAGTTTTGCTTTTATTTTCTATGATGACCCTGTTTTATTTTTCGTATTTATATACTTATAAATTGCAACTTGATTTGCAACTGTTTTAATGTTATTCTATACTACTTTAATACCAGACACATCTATTTTAAATCAAAGGACAAAATCTGTGCCCTAAAGTTGAGGTTTGTTATTGACAGAAATACATGGGATAAATCAGCCTACACATATATATGTGTATAGGTTCCTCTGAGATGAACAGTGTCAATAAATTCTAAATCTTTATTAGAGAATGCTGGTATTATTGATGCTTCATTTTATATGTAAAAATATTAAAGCAGCAGCTCTGTGAAGCTGAGCTAAATGCTAGCATGCTCACAATACAGATGCTAATATGCTGCATTTTAGCAGGTATAAGGTTTATGTATGTTCCATCTTCATTTAACATGTAAGCACACTAACATTTGCTAATTGACACTAAACACAAAGTGTGTTTGTGCTGTGTTTTCACTCCAGTAGCTTTCCTTTTTTTTCAGCAAATGTGCAGTCTTTGTAATGTTTAATTAAATACACCTTCTGGTGCACATATGCTCATTATTGCTTTAGTCAAGAAGAACATTTGTTAAAAAAAAAATCATATTCTAGGATATAAAACAAATCAAGCATGTATCAGTATAAAAAAATATTTATTTTTTTTACAGTGCATTCATCGATACACATATTCCAGGACACATATTTACACATTATAAAATGTACAGTACATTTTATCTGTTTACATTTCAAAATATTTCCCTCTGCAAAATATCACCTTTAAAAGTGTATAGTGAATCAAAAAAAATCTATACAAAAAGTTTATTTTTACATGTAAATCTTCAAACTCTGTCACTGTGTATAGTTTCCCTTTCTTCCTGTCCACCAAATGAATGGTGGTTTTTATTCAGGCTGTAAAGAATTTCATACATCTAGTGCTGACAGATCCATGTGGCCTCTGAAGACCCCTCAAAGAGGTTTCTGGTCATGGTGGTTTGTCTATTCACATCACAGGCTGTTAGAAAACAAAATGCGTCCTTTTGAGGCTGAGGCATACATTTGGTTTTAGCAAAAGTACTCGCTAGGTGGGCCCTCAGTCCGGGCTGTGGCCTCTGAGTCAACACTGGATCTCGCCGAGAGTAGCCTGTTAGATTCATCAGGATTTAGCCTGGTCAGATACTCGCCTTCCATTCCTTTAGTTTTAGCAGCAGGGCTGAGGGTCTCGAACGTGACATAGGAGTCCTGCATTTCCTTCGACTGCCGCCCCAGCAACTTTTGGCAGCGCTTCTTTAGTGCACCGCAGCACACAATCAGCGTGAGGGGGACAGCGATCACGCATGCTACCGTTATCACCACCACATTAATAAGCTTTTGAGTGCCACTGGCACTGGCTGCTTCATCTGTTGAGAAGATTACGCACTGCTCCTTTTTTGGGATCAGGCCTTTGACGCAAACACAAGCAATGTACTTTGTCTTTGGCACCAGGCCATCAATGGTGATCCGATTCTTCCCAGCACCTACATTGATCCGACGCATGTCTCTCTCACCAAATACAGCATATAGCACACTGAATTCTGTGGTGTTTGTGGCTGTAGGGGCTCGCCAGTTCAGAGAGACCGCATTGTCAGTGTCGCCGATCACCTTCACTGAACGCACTATCCTTTTTACTGGAGCTTGCTGTAATGATGAGGCATTGGCTGCTAAGTTACTCAAAGCATCCTGCTCCAACTCCACTGGCCTCTGAGATTTTGACACTTTGCCTTGTCCCTGAGAGGCCCCATCAGAAATACTGTAACTCTCAGTCTCATATTTCCCAGTCACACCGTTGCCATTGAGAGATTCAAAGATGGGCTGGACAGCTGTGGTGGTTAGTGGAGGGACATATCTGGCAATAAGTTTCTCCTGATATGCCGCCCTTCCAATGTCACCAGGTTTTTTCCCTCTGGTTCTCTTAGTAACACCACCGCCTGCTTCCTCTGACCGAAAAGAATCTGTGATCACCAAAGAGATGATGGCATCTGCGGTGCCCACAAAGTTGGTTGCTTTGCACACATATTTCCCAGAATCTCTGTATGAAACTGCAGGCACGCTCAGGATTGACCAAATGATGCCCTCCTTTGAAATCTCTTCCTGAACTGAAAAATAAAAAAGCAGATGTGCACAGAGTTAAGGAGATTGGCACAGAAAGTCATTTTAATCTCACTGTCACTGGGACAGGAATAGATCCCTTCCTAATCTAAGCACATCTGAAATCAGTTCAGCAGAACTCACCGGTACCATTCATTTTCTTGCCATCAGCACGGCTCCAGGACAGCTCGGGGATGGGGACTCCAACTGTGCCACAGCGCAGAAGGACATTGTTGCCCAGTGAGCTCCGGACACGAGCCACGGCCGTGTGCACCCGCGGGCCCTGGCACCTCTGCAGCTCTGCCTCTGTAAACAGAACCCCCGACAGGGTCTCTGGATCAGCACACCTCAGCCTGGTGTCAATGAGAGCCACAGATGATGATGGAGACTTCTGAAACTGGACCAGATCATACAGCCTGCAGTCACACTGCCATGGGTTGTCATGGAGACCTGCAGAAGAAATTGTGTGACAGTTCTGTTACTTTATCGCACAACTACACCTAGTCATGTTAAGAATAACAGTTCAACAGAATTATTTTACTATTAGACATCGTGACACACTGCACACAACTAGAATTAGACCAATCCCTAACTCGGCTTTAAATGCTTCTGGTGTCAGAGAAGAAGGATAGTTTCTGTTATCCTAACATGTCACAGTTTGATCCTTACCGAGAATTAGCTTGGAGGAATCGGTTTCCTGGAATGGCTTCACACTCAGCCACATTGTGAGAATGTCAGCAGGGATGGTTGACAGACTGTTGCTGGACAAGTCTAAATATGTGATGTTCTTTATGTACGTGGTGGCTTCAGCAGGGATGGTGGAGATCTTGTTGTTGTGCAAGTCTAGGAGCCTCAGGTTTGGCGTGTCGCTCAGAGACCCCCAGGGGAAAGAGGTGAGGGCATTTCCGTCCAGCCTGAGCTCATCCAGGTTGTAAAGACCCTGGAAACTGTCAACATTCAGTGAATTCAGTGAATTGAAAGACATCCAGAGAAACTCCAGGTTGCTGAGGTACTGGAAGCTGTCGCTAGAAATCCTCGTGATTGCCGTTTTCTCAATACGTAGCTTTGATGTGTCAGTGGGAAAATTCTGAGGAACTACAGTGATTTCTGGTCCATTGCAAAGCACGCTCCTGCAAAATAAGATAAATATTATTACTTATCATATGAAATTTAAGAGCAACATTATAACTACTTTGACATTGTATGAGTTTGTAGAAATAGATTTAATAAACATAATACCTTTCATCCCTTTGTTCAATAATGTTATACAGTATTAATTTGAAAAAACATTGTACCCTCTTGTTCAGTAACAAGCAAAGGAGATTAATGCAAAACTCCAAATTAATCCTCCACTACACAGAGTGACTGAATCGAAAAAGCTGCAGTGAAAATCTATTGTGCATATAAGAAATAACAGCATTTAGTATGAATAAAATAACAAACACACACAATAACAGTTACATTTACCTTGCTTTTGATCCATCATTTAATTTGTGGAAGAAGCAGCTGCACTGCGCAGGACATGAACTGCCCAAGATGGGAACAAAAACTAAAGCCAAACAAAAAGCAGCAGGTAAATGTCGACTCATTTTTTTCTCCTACAAGCTACTAGAAGCTACACACTAAACTACAGTTTAAAAGACAGGGCTGCTACTCGGTCCTACGGGACATCGGGTGCTTCATGGTGTTTTGCAGGCTCACAGGTTCATAATGCGCCAACTAGTCTGAACCCTGAGATAAAAAGGATAGGCAGGGATTAGTCAAGGGCTTGGGTTATTCTCATTCACACGATTAGGAGAGTGCTTCCTGGAAGCTGATAGGCTGTAATAGGTTTTGGTTTCATTTTCAGGGAAATTCTTTCCACTAGTTGACACAACAAATGTTACAACACAGGACATTAATACATGTAGACACAGCAGGCCTACAGTTCAGTCAGAATAAAAATCCAAACTCTACCGACATGTATTAAAGTGCATATTTAACTTTTTCCGCCCTTGGTGAAAGACTTTTAACATGAGGGATTCTTTGGTAGTTTTAAACCAGTTTTGTTTTCATGCTATCATTTAAAGATGTCTCAGTATTTTTGCTGTTAAGTCATATATACTACTACTGTAAATGCTGGAGTAACCACTGTAGGAAAGATAGACCCCCCACCCTGCTAATACATGGACAATTAGTCACCCAGAAAACAAATCACAACTTTCATATGAAAGCACATGGATGGCATACAGTTGTAGATCATTTTAATAAAGTTCTGGTCCTTGCTATGTTTTTTTTGACATCATCTATGAAATTTGTAACATAATGACAGACTGTAGTTTGCATGATGGCTACACCTTTGCAACAATGGCCACTAGATTGGGTTGTGTACTCACCTTCACAAAGTGAGATCCAAACCTCAAACCAGGTAAGTGACAGATCCAGGTGGTAACAGAGTTTAAAAACAAATGTTGTTTAACTATTTTTCTTCCACTTTTATGTTTTATAATTTCTACTTCAAGCAAAGCATACATTTTAGAATTTGTTTACTATTATAATATTGATATAATATAGCATCCAGCAGAACATGGTGATATGTTGACATGCAACTGTGTCTGAGCATGACACACTGTGACCGACAGACATGTTGTTGCCATCTCTGAGGGTTTTTAAACAGGTGCAGAGATTTAAAGACGCAGCTGTCCAGCAGGATTTCAAATCCTTTAATCCAGTCATGTCTCTGTCTCTTATTAATACATCTTTGTTCTATTACCTTCAGGAGCTGTCGTCTTAGGCCCAGGGAGAAACCTCCAGCCCTGCACACCCCCTAACCTCCCAGGAAAAGAAAGTCTCCCAAAATGGAAACAACTGCAATACCTGGAAACACAGTACTTGAGTTAACCTAATGTACATCATTACTTCAAATGTTAACAATTATTGCTTTCACAGGAAAAGAAGTTTGTTTCACTTTTCTCATCTTGCTCCTGATCCACAGAGTCTGCTGGTACTGTTTGAACACATTTTGAACAGCGACGCCTTTGTTTCATTATAAAACCAGCAGATTGTGTCAGTGTAATTAATTATTTAGCAATGCACTAATATGCAATCAGTACAAGGGTGCGAGCACTTTGGAAATTATATTACAGACAGGATTTTCATATCTGACGTGAGTTTTACTCCCAAACTTTGATTTGTGGCTAAAAAGATGGAGATAATATTAAAGAGTTAAATGAAAGATGGAGATAATATTAAAGAGTTAAATGCATCTCACCTAATTATTTCCAATAAGTTAAAGCTGTGTGCTACTGAGTTTTGAAAAGGATCCACTGTGCCCCACCTTGGAAATGTTGTTAGGCTTAAATAAGAGCCTTTTATTATTTCTATAATTGCCTTCACTTTTGCCCAAAGGCTTTGACATTGGCTGCAATAAACCAGACGGTGTATAGTTTATAAATACATAAACCAAATCTCCTAAACAAAAATTACAATTTATACCAGATGATCACTGCATTCATATTTTCTGTCCTGCTGGTTCGGACTAGGCTTTTACTTCGTTAAAGTCAGCTGCAGTAGATTAACAGGTTGTTTCATTTTGCATTGTGAAATTGCTGCTCTACTACTTCATGGCTTCAGCCTGCTCCCTCAGCTTCTGAACTGACAAACTGTCTGCTTTGAGATCAAATATTTGGGCACACTTGTAGCGACCACAAACGTGTATGAAGTTTGGAGGTTGTATGCTCATTAGGACATTCTTCAGGGGACTGCACAAGGGATTTACAAAGATTAGTGTCTTTATGCTTTTTCACGTGAAAGAGCCTTTATAAGTCCCCAGTTTGTAGGGAACAGTGGTGCACTACACAACAGCAAAAGGACCTGTCTTTCTGTGTGAAGTTTAATCAGTGCATTTCAGCATGGCAGCGTATACATTACCGGAGGGGTTCGTGGAGTTTGACATGTTTACATTTGGCTCTGCGCTTCTGGTTGAGGGTAAGTGGCCCGAGCACACAGGAAGCCCCTGGTTATGCTCAAGTTAAAGGGACAGTACAGTATTTGTTTAGATAATAGAAGCATGAAAATCTTAAACGTGCATGTTAATCATTCATGTGTTTTTAATTTGCTCATTGTAAGCTTACCAGCTGTAGCTCCATGCAGGCTCCCTGTCAAAATCATTTCTTGTTTTAGATTAAACTCCACCTGATGTCTGTTTATGATAAAGCTATAGCTTAACATTCCATTTTGAAATATGGGTGATTTCACAACCTTATTGTTGTTTTGCATCTTCAGGTACATTAGGTTCAATGTGATAACAGTAATTTATAACAGAATAAGAGTGAAAATCCCAGTTTGCTTTACATTTTCAGGCCTCCTTGGATTTGTCCTCAATGCCATCAGCATCCTGTCTTTCCTCAGAGTGAAGGAGCTGCAGACTCCCAGTAACTTCTTCGTGTTCAGTCTGGCTGTGGCTGACATCAGTCTAACTATTAATGCACTCATAGCTGCTTATGCGAGCTATCTGAGGTATCAAACACACATCCTGCTGCAGTTCTTAAAAGTTTGTTATTATCCTTAATCCAGTCCGGTCCACAATCCAATTTATTCTGAGTGTAAAGGTCACTTTTTGCAAGAAAACCTGTGGGACGTTACCTAACAGGGTGTTTTTACTGATTGGAAAACAAATGCAGTCCCCATTCAGTTCAACAGGAAAGTGTGGCCAAACGTTTGACTGGTAGTGTAGCAACACAAAGTTTTAAAGTTTTTGTTTAAGCCTCTTATTTATTCAGCAGTTCACAACGTCAGTCTCAACAGGGCAGAATTAAGGGGCCCCTGTCGACCCCCCTCAGCCTTAAACCTCTGTGTGAATAGTATGTTGTATTAAGCACATGATTGTTCACTAAAATGCACCATGTAAGCACAATAAACTGAAATAATGAGGACTATATTTGAACTCACAAAATGGCCCCTCGGATCAGCAGTAACATAGCTGTTGCCTTAATGACCTAATTCCAGTGTATACAGTGCTGCAGTTCTGCATATAGTAAACAAATCTACAATTTATTCAGTTGCCATAAGCTAAGTGACATGTGGACAACTTAGAACCTTTGGGCCCCATGTGAGTTTGGGCCCCGAGTCTGATGGGTTGCAAATTGGGAGGAGAAGAAAAACTTTTCTGTTGCACAAACTTGTGTTTATCTTTCTGAATTTCTGGACAAACTGGAGAGTTTACACAAAAACTCTCCAGAAAGGAAGGTCACTCTTTGGTTTCACTGCTTACAGTTCATAGATGCAAACAGTGTGTGATGAGGGCGTGTGAGTAGGCAAAGGCTGGGTGAGCTGGTTGATGTGACATCATCTGTATATCATTCTGTGGTTACTATTTTCAATAAAGTGACCAACATGCTTTTACATCCTAAAATCTTACATGAATATACTGTACATCAGTCTGGGTGGACATAGCAAGTATTTCTATGCAAGTTGGTAATTGGACCATGACTCAAAATGTTTTGTCTTCTCTAGATATTGGCCATTTGGTCAAGACGGATGTTCCTATCAGGCTTTCCAGGGTATGACATCGGTTCTGGCCTCTATCAGTTTCATTGCTGCCATTGCTTGGGACAGATATCACCAGTACTGCACCAGTAAGTACAAAATAACAGCAGTACTCCACATTCAATCCGCTGTGCAGAAAAGTCTAAACGTGTGAAAAACCATCAAACTACAGTAAGTTACACTTAATTTCTCCCTGAAAATAAAAAGTGTCAAAAAATGGTTTTACAGACATTTTAAAAGAACTGCACTTATAATGGATTCTGTTCATTGTTTAATAGAGTAAACCCATCTCATTTATTACTCATATGTTGAAATGAAGCACCTAAATTAGTTTTCATGGAGTTTTATAAATGACAGCAGAGACAACCTGAGTGCGACAGATTCAGTCATGTGCTTTCGTTTCTGTTACTTCTCTTTAGAAATAATCTTATATCACAATCAAATGCCTAGTCACATCCAGATGAAATCATACCTGTTCTGAATTCTGCAGGACAGAAGCTCTTCTGGAGCACAGCTCTGACAATGAGCACCATCATCTGGGTTCTTTCCATCTTCTGGGCTGCTGTTCCTCTCATGGGATGGGGCGTCTATGACTTTGAGCCAATGAGAACTTGCTGCACATTGGACTACACCAGAGGAGACAGGTAGAGTTATAGAAATACTGGAATGACACTAAAACCGACACATTGACATGGGTGAAATGGCCAGTTTGCTATCAAATTGTCTATAATTAGCAAAAAAGTGTGATTACTTGTGTAAGAAATGCTCTCCCAAACAGAACCTATGTGTAGCATTTTGACACAGTTATTTTGCTAGTTGCCTCTTTTCAACAGGGACTATGTGACCTATGTGCTAGCTCTGGATGTGTTGTACCTGATGTTCCCAGCGTTCACCATGTGGGCATGTTACGATTCCATCCACAAACACTTCAAGAAGATCCATCACTACAGGGTAACTGCGGTGCTCAAAATCAATTGTAAAGGAGCACTCCGCTTGTTTTGTTTAGAATTGTTTTGATGCTATATCAGATTTGGCAGAGATAAAGCACTTCTGTGAACTGGACTGACTTGTTTTAGCTGTGCCTATAGTGCGCCATCATGTAATATTTGGACACAGTTGAGAACTTGGTTGCTTATTTGCAGCTGTAATGCATCACGTGCAAGTTGCATGTGTAATATTTACACTAATACACCAAACTGTGTTTTGTAGTTTAACGCCAATGGGCCCTTGAGGGTTCTGCTGATATGCTGGGGACCCTATGTTGTCATGTGTACCTACGCCTGCTTCGAGAATGTGAAGGTTATCTCCCCAAAGCTGAGAATGGTGAGCTTTTTGATAAGGTTGTGTGCAAATGTAGTTGACATAGTGAAGCAGGTAATAAGGAACCTTTGATTACAGACATGGTTCAAAGGGTAATTGTATTTATTTAAAAATGAGGTCTTACTTTTGTAGTTTTGGCCTAAGTACTGTACTTAAGTACAATTTTGAGGCATCAGTACTTTGAGTATTTTCATTTTCTGCTACTTCATACTTCACTACATTTTAGAGGCAAATATTGTACTTTTCACTCCACTACATTTATTCGATAACTTTAGTTATTAGTTACTTTTCAGAATGAGAATAATAAAACACAACAGAGTATAATCATAAGACTGTATTGATCCCTTGTGGTACATTCACAAGCTACCCTGCAGGATGTAAACTACTTCCAAGTATAGGCAGATAAGGTAGTTAACATTAACCCCACATTTACCAACTGCAACATTAAATGTGAAGTACACAATAATATGATGCACATTAAAGTGAACTGTACCATTCTGCATAAAGAATACTTTTAGTACTTTAAGTATAATTTGATGCTAATACTGCTGTACTTTTATTTAAGTAGCCTTCTGAATGCAAGACTTTTACTTGAGTATTTTTACACTGTGGTATTGCTACTTTTACTTAAGTAAACAATCTGAGTATTTCATCCACTGTTGGTAGAAATAAATCATCATCATCATCATCATCATCATCATCATCATCATCATCATCATCATCATCATCAGGTTTTAAAAGTCGTACAGCTCAGTCACACTTCACTTTTCTGCTGTGTCAACGTCCATCACAGTTTACTTTAACCTACCTTATACTGTACACTTTCACAATGTGGGATTTTACTGACACCTCTGGTGCCTGCCTAAACCCGTTTTTGCTATGTATTTGATCATTTGACTTCTTGTGTGTTTTGCTTTTTTGAGTAGAGATTTCATAACAAATGGAGATGATGGTCAAAACTACAAAAATAAGGCCCAAGTGGCAATAAACTCAAACTACTATATCTTTTAAATTAAATACTTGAAATGTGATAGAAATACTTGTTTCCTCTCACAGGTGCTTACACTTGTTGCAAAGACAAATCCCATCTTCAACGCCCTCCTCTACTCTTTTGGTAATGAATTCTATCGAGGCGGCATTTGGCACTTCCTCACTGGACAAAAGATTGTTGATCCAGTTATTAAGAAGTCAAAATAAAAGATAAAAAGAGATCCATGACCATCATTTGCTGATTATCCCCCTAGTTGCATCTCCACACTGTCACATGTATGAAATCTGCTATTAAAACACTAGAAATAAAGTACAAGTGTTTATCTAACAGCTGCTGCTGTGCCAGGCCTCTCTCATTAGTGAAATTGGGCAGTTATTTCCTGTGGTGTGTTAATCCTCTCGTTGTGGTATTAATGCTGACTTTACTGCATCAAATCATCCAGTGCCCATTCTAGAAACAGCCCTCCGCTGTCTCCTGAGACCACCATCCGTTATACTGTTTTATAACAGTAACCATCATAATGCTGATAGCAGCAGCTATTACAGAAGTAAATACATTTTAAAAAGACACCTTAAGGGTTATTACACATACTAACATCAGCAATAGAGGTACTGCAATACAAATCATATTTGGTAATATGTACACTTACATATTATTAATATTATACATATATAAACAATGTGTAAATATCAATATATACATAGTTGGCAAAATAAAAATGTGCAAGCTGCAAGTGGGTTTGGTCTTAAAAATAATTTATAAGGAGAGAAATACTATAATTAACAGTATACTTACAAATATACTGTATTTCCAAACTGAGAAAATGGACCTGTTAAATAGCTGTTTTCACAAATATTATTGATGTAAACAATTTGTTTTGAGCTAATGTCATCATGATTGTGTTTTAGACTGCCAGTAAAACAAATATGTTAATAGAAAACAGAAGTTTTATTCTAGACGCCAACAGGCTTGTGAGCAGATGTAGTAAAAACATTTAGTTTATCTTATGTATACACTGATAAATGTACCTGTAAGTCTGACTTCTGCTTTTTTTAACATAATATGCTTCGGTGTGGTGCTGGACGCTGTTAGCCAGCTTATCACTGACCACCGTTGTTGGCTGACCATGGATACACATTTGTAATTTTCTGCAAATCTTTACTGTCCTCTACTGGCAAGAAATAGTCACAGATCTAGTTAAGGAATAAAAAACAAGCCTATCAGATTTCTTATACCACATTAAAATGATTGATAAGACTTCAAGTCACCAATATTTAGCATTTATTAGTCATATAAAAGTGTTATTTTTTAATACAACATTATAATGTAGTTGTAGTCTACACAGCCCTAATAAGAACATTTGACAGTGGACAAATGTATGAACTCTTACTTGGACAAACATTTCACTGTGTTATAAACATTTAATCAGAAAGGTGAAATTCTACAGTGTTAAAGAGGAAACCAGAACACAGTCGTGTAGATAATTTGGTTATTTTACAACCTAAGAGTAGGTATCGCTCATTTGAAGGACGGATTATTCTAGTGTGTACTTTTAGATTGTAACCACTAGATGTCGCCGGTGTCTTGTGCTAAAGTTAAAATGCCCTCCATATTTGCCCGTACTGTGTTTGGCATAATTCCATCCCAGGGAATCACATAAGAGCTGCATACAGTTGTCTTTATGGTACCGTTTTATGCTAGTTGGTGTTGACATGTTGGTGTCCACAGCCCGGTGGTGCTTAAATCTCTTCGATCACTGCAGCGACGGGTCAAGAGTCCACGACAGGCCGATCGGCTCTCTGGGAACTCGGATTGGAAAACCTTATTATATCTAACTTCTACTCATGCCGTCAGTTTCACTTTATGCTATGAAGTTTTAACACCGTGTCAATAATATCTGACTCCAAAAGAATCCATCTATGTATCGAGACAGACACAGAGGGAGACAGTTTACAGCTATTTTATATATGTTCATGATGCTTACAGCCTTCTTCAGATTAGGAACAGACTTGTACCTATGGTGTGTGTGTGTGTGCGCGCGCACTATTTGTGTACTGTAAGACCTGTGTGTTTAGTGCAGTAGTTGTGTCCATTATTGAAGTTAATTTTGGGTTGACTTTCATTGGTAAAGGTATAATTGCAGACATCTGTAGTTGCGTAACTCGGCGTTTGCCAATGTCTTACGGTTTTTCCGTAATACCAAAGTCAAGAGTCACACACTGGACATTAAATATAAGAAAGCTATTTTTCCTTCCTTGCTCATGTAGAAGAGTCGTGATATGGTGTTCTAGTTCTTATTGGTTGAAGTGATTGCTGCTATGGGTGGAAATTAACATAAAGGAGGCAAGTGGCGAAGGGATCCACTTGGGGGCAAGCTGGTAATGCGTCATAGCTCTTGGTGAAAAGGGGAGACAATTAAAGGACTAAAATAGCGCCGAACCTGCGGGTTAATGTGCACCAATGGCTGCGAAGTCACTCATAGTCTCCGAGCTCAGCGCAAAAGTGCCACAGGTGATAGGAAGTATGAACACAGAGACGAGAGAGTTGGGGCGTCCTGGGTGTTGCAAATAAGTAACTATTGCGTTCCAAACTAACTTTGGCATGTAAGATTGGCGGGTGAAATCTATGCAAGGTGCGGAAAATCTACGATTTTAACACGGCGCTTCTCGGGAGATCATGAACCAATATCGGTCGTGGCTGAGACGAGGACAAGCTGAGGAAGCCAAGGAAAAGCATCTTTACCGATGAAGCAGCCAAGTTCTTCTGCGCCTCTCCCTTTACGCACAGGCGAGGTGAGGACAGAGAGCATCACTTTCATGTAGGAAAAACGCCAATGAGTGATCCGAGGTGCTGAAAGATCAGTAGTAGACGGGAGAAACACAACTACAATTCTGAATCAAATATCAAAAAATAAAAGCAAACCATGGACGAAGCAGGGGGGACCTCCGGGCTGGCCAAATCAGCCGCCGTAAAACTCTCCGAGATGGGCGAAAGAACCAAGCAGCTAGGCACCGTGATGAGGGATCCTCACCAGCAAAGACGGATCATATTAGTGATCGTTTGTGTGGCTCTCCTCCTGGACAATATGCTCTACATGGTAATCGTGCCAATTATTCCAGACTATCTGGCTGACCTGGAGAGTGAGCAATCAGAGCACGTCCACGTAGTGATGCATCCCAACACTTCAGCCAACAACACAAGCCAAGGCAAAAGCAACAAGGACAATTTCGATTTCCAGATAGGAGTACTTTTTGCATCTAAAGCAATCCTGCAGCTGTTAGTTAACCCGTTGTCGGGAACTTTCATAGACCGGGTTGGATATGACATTCCACTTTTAATTGGACTGACTGTTATGTTCCTATCCACCTGCATTTTTGCTTTTGCGGAAAACTATGCGACGCTTTTTGTGGCCAGAAGTTTGCAGGGTCTGGGGTCTGCATTCGCAGACACCTCTGGAATCGCGATGATAGCTGACAAATACACGGAGGAGGCAGAGAGAAGCAGGGCGCTCGGAATCGCTCTGGCGTTTATCTCGTTCGGGAGCCTGGTGGCGCCTCCTTTCGGGGGTGTCCTATATGAGTTTGCGGGCAAGAGAGTGCCCTTCATCGTGCTCGCTTGCATTTGCCTGGCGGACGGCTTTCTGCTGCTGACCGTGATCAAGCCGTTTTCCAACAGGACTAGAGGGAACATGCCAGCCGGCACCCCGATATACAGACTCATGGTTGACCCGTACATAGCTGTGGTGGCCGGGGCGCTGACAGTGTGCAACATTCCCCTGGCTTTTCTAGAGCCCACTATAGCCAACTGGATGGAGACCACCATGCACTCCTCTCAGTGGGAAATGGGACTCACATGGCTCCCAGCTTTCTTCCCTCATGTCCTCGGTGTGTACATTACAGTTAAACTGGCAGCACAACATCCAAATTTGCAATGGTTCTACGGAGCTTTAGGCATGGTTATCATAGGAGCGAGCTCCTGCACAGTCCCTGCATGCAAAACTTTTGGGCAGCTCATCGCCCCGTTGTGCGGAATTTGTTTTGGCATTGCACTTGTAGACACTGCTCTGCTGCCGACGCTTGCGTTTTTAGTCGACATGCGTTATGTTTCAGTGTATGGTAGTGTTTATGCTATCGCAGACATCTCCTACTGTGTTGCATATGCTATGGGTCCTATAGTGGCCGTAAAGATAGTGCACAATCTCGGGTTTGTACAACTTAATCTGGGTATGGGTCTCGTCAATGTGCTTTACGCACCAGCCCTGCTGCTGCTGCGCAATGTGTGCCAAATGAAACCGTCCCACTCAGAGAGAGATAACCTGTTAGAAGAAGCTCCACAGGGGCTGTACGATACTATCAAGATGGAGGAGAGGAGAGCTAAAAAGAAGGGCTACACCTCAGCTGGGAATTGCCTCCCAGTAGATGAAAATGGCTTTGATCCATTTAGAGCACAGCGATCCTTGTCAGAAGAGTCACCCGGTCCGGAGTACACTTAGACCGGCAGCACTCCGACCGCCCCCGTAAACATTCCCCTGAAGAGATTTGGAGATGTGCAGGCAGGTTATATTCTAGTGATTTAAATTTTTATGTAAGTACCGATGTGCAATATATACACACAATCACAACAATCACGATTATGTGACCCGTTTTCCAAAGTTTATTTTTTATTTTATGACTGATTTCAATGTTTCGAGCAAGTCGATGTAGCGTTTGTCATGGACGTCAAACTGGAGTTTTGTGAGAGATCAGCTACTGTTGAATGTGTGTATCATTGAGTATTGTAAAAAGACCTAAGTAAATGTGCGTACACGATTATATGGGACCAAGTACAAACGGTACATTTCGTCTTTTCCCTTACACAAAACATTAAGTTTAAAAACTTTTAACTTGCACATTAAAGGTCTCGTTTTCTTTTTGCTTTAAAAACCGCGACTTAATTTTGTAACAAATGGCCCCGTTTGTTATTTTTATTTCAGGTTTGTTGTTGAAATTAAACGAAAGATTGAAAGTAAATGTTCTGTACATATGTGGATATATGAACAATGTAAATTGTCTAATCATACGTGGACTTGCACAAAGAGTGCGTGTTTGTGTGTTTGCGCGCGTGTATGTATGAAAACTTTCGTCATGACGTAGCTAATAAAGTCAGTCTCCTTACGATGATCGAGTATGTATTCATTTATCGGATATCGTTTTACTGGATGTCTGTCTGGATCTATGTGACAGTGGTGATTTCATTCTTATCTCGAGCTTCATATGAGAAAAAAGTGTGGAGGTTGATTTCGTTAGAAGTGTAATAAAAGTAGTTTGTAAAAGTGATTTAACCTGCAATTTGTTCCTCAAGAATCATTAAATTAGGAAGGCAGGGGGAAACAAGTTCCGGCTGAATATTGTCATCTATAAAATGTAAACGCACTCAAAGCGTCGTCTAAATAAAGAAAAATAACTCTCCAAGATTTAATTCAGAATTTTCAGGAGCTCAGCTCTCTGACCGTGCACAACCAAGCACATACACAAAGAACAGAAGACGCGCACACTGGCCACGGTATGGGAATAAACATAAACTAAATAACTGAACAGAGACAAGTGCCAAATAGTTTAGGAAATTGGAGTACAGCTGCAAAACTGACTTTTTTACGCATACGTGTATCCCTAGTGTGAAATATTGCAGGCTAACTCTGCAGAAAGTTCGTAACTTAAATCTGAACTGAAAAAAAGGCACCACCCAGTTGACTGCCATCCCTGTCGGCACGAAATATGAGTGACAACCCAAAATCCTCACTCCTTTTTTATATTAAAATTATTATCGGATGTGGGTAGGGGGCACGCAAGCTGTCAGATAATATGTTCTGCGAATAGATTTCGATGGGAGGAGTTTCTTGCCTCAGGGGAGTAGGTAGACGAAAACACCTTCAGCATCTTTTCCCTGGCGCGCGTTAATGTGGAGACGCAGCCCTTTGGTGAGGCGAGAGGACGGGGGAGCAGTCCAGCGCCGGAGCTTTGCACTAATATGGGATTTCACGGCATGGATGTGGGACGCTCTGTGAACTTACGCACACTTCTTTGACCTCTTGGGTAGCACATCGCTCAGGTACGGTAACTTTTCTCGCTTTCTCTCAAATAATAAAGGAAATTTTGTATTTATTAAAAACATATTAACCACTGGATGAGCCACTTTGATGCACAGTGAGGATTATTCTTCATCTTACAAACGCAATTACTCTGATCACAAATCCACTTTATAAAGGATTTTTGGCAAGTTGAACGTTATCACTTCATTTGTTTTCAGTCAAAGCAACTTGAACCCAATTATACAAAATTACAATTTCACATTCATTTAGTTTCTTCTTCATCATTTTTATTAAAATGGTTTTACAACGTGAACATGCCCAGAAAATTTGTACAATTTCCTCCTTTTATGGACCAAGACCTTTATATATATTTCAGGATAATTAGAGCTTTTCAGATTAAAATAGAGATGAAATGAGTTTAAGATGCATATCTCTTTGCAGTTGTGAGCGATGAGGCGCAGGTGGAATGCAAGGACAAGCCCCAAATTGCATTAGGTTGCAAAATGAAGAAGAATGGAAACCTGCTGGTTCACTTTTTAGACAGCAGTATGTTGCTCCATTTCTCAGTAGGCCTAATTTTATTTACTGCGTGTTTTATTTCCCTGATCTCTCTTTCTCAAAATGTCTCAACATTCTTTATGAGAAGAAGCTGAACTCAGTCTCAAGGGGGTTCCACATTATTTTCTCTTAACTGGACTCGAATGAAAAGATGCCAATCATGGGGAAAGAGACGGCCAGCGACCGAGGCAGCCAAGTAAGAAAACGTCATTATTTCTATAGTGAACATGTTTTTCTGTGTATCTGCTCTCATTCCGTGTCTTTACTGGACCCCGTCGCTGTCCGTGGTGCTGACGTTGGCAAAGGAAACACACAGCGACAGCTGCACTTACGCCAACTGACCACTAGGGGCGAAAACTAGATACCAGGCCTTTTACGTTTCAGGGGAGGAAGACCTTAGTCATCAGACAGTGAAATAAGTATTTACTCGCTTTGCGCACTCATTTAATCAACATTTAGCGTTATATTATCATGGTGCACTTGCATTATGCTTCATGTTTGGGTGGTTCTAAATTAAGATTGTACAGGGCAAAGACATCTTTCCACATTTTTCAAGACATTTCTTCCAAGTCCAAATTTCCAGGAATCCACAGACAACTTGAAATTCCAGTGTGCTGGTAAGATTACAGCATCCAGTCCGCAAATGATCAACCACCAGACCTAAAAGATCATCAATTTGCAGCTTTCATCCTTCAAAATTTCGTGAAGTCTCTGGAATTTATTCTGAAATAAGCCTCAAGGCATTTAGAATTAATTAATAACATTAGTTCCAATAATTAAAAAAAAAGCATAAAGAAAACATGTTACCACTTTAACAAATGAACACCCAGGATGTTGAGCCGCTGTCCTTCATTGTGTATATTACACCCATCTGTTGTTTTTATGACATCAGGTGTTGCCAAAGGTCCCTGTGCCCCCACTGAAACAAACCCTCGACACATACTTGAAGTGTGTCCAGCACCTGGTGAAGGAGGAGCAGTTCAAGAAAACCAAGGCCATCGTGGAAAGGTTTGGGGCTCCTGGAGGTGTTGGAGAGGTTCTCCAAAAGAAGCTTTTAGAGAGGAGGGACAAGATGACCAACTGGGTAAACTCTCAGATCTATAAGAAAAAAGAAAACCAGAAAAGAATAAATCTGTTTTCCCACCCTATCAATAAAGACAGTTTCTCTTTTGTACCTTTTTCTATTCATTAAATGTTCATGTCAAAAGCTCCATAGTCAACGTACTTTTCATATATTTATTAGGATTTTACGATGCAGAATGTGTAATCAGCATCAGGTTTGATTGTATTATTTTGTAACAAGGTATCAATTTGCATCTGCTCTATTTATTTTAAACATAAATTGATGGCCTCAGGATGGTACCATCCCTAAAATGATATACAACCCATTCACAAAGGAGCAGAGAAACATCTGGGGATAAAGATTTATGGGAGTCTCATCCTTTGCTGCGTCAGTCTCCCTTTCAGCGTCTTTTCAGCGTCTGGGAGATCAGTCAGTCCACAACTCAGCCTGTTCGTTGAAATCTATCATGCTCCCACTCTTACACTGGCTCCTTCCCACTCCTCTTTTCATCTGGCAGTGATGCACTGTAATGCTTTTTTTTTTTTTTTTTACTCCATCACAGGTCTTGACTTAGAAAGTAATAACTCGAGTCCAAAACACCAAACAAAGCAACATTTCTCATAAAGCGTCCCTGTGTTTTTATTTAGGTGTATGACTACTGGCTGGAAGACATGTACTTGAACAACAGGTTGGCCCTACCAGTCAACTCAAGTCCTGCCATGGTGTTTCCTAAGCAGATGTTTAAAGATCATAGAGACGCCCTCAGGTAAGAGCTGGAACATTCTCACTACTGTTGTTCAGACGCTTTAATGGTTAACAAGGTTGAATACTGCACACCATCACTACAGATACAAACTATACAGGACGTATCATTCAGCCCTGCAGCTGCTGACAGGGTGTACGTTCTTCTCAGCAGGTACGGATAAAGATCTGAATTACAGACATGGAAAGAATCACTGGCATCATCTCTACCCATTATTAAATGAGCTGTGGGTCCACCAGACATTACACCAGTCCATCCAGCCCTGTAACTCAACATGAGCTTTTGTCAGCTCATGCTGCACTAACTGAATATTTCCAGAGCACCCCGAGCAGCTGGTAATCTACTGACACAGCCACTGATTAGATTGGGAGTGACAGGGCCAAGCTCTCCGCAGAGACTGCTAGTCAGGCCTCATTCAGGGGTGTGGTGTGCTGTGGCCGCCTCCTCTGTATTGATCTAGCTTTGTGCGTAATAACACCAAGACAAATGACATACAACATAAAACCTAACAGGGCTCTGTGTTTTCCCTCTCTGCTCACACATACAGACCCCCTCTCACAAACACAGATAAACACACAGCTCACCCACTGTATCCTAGTAATTTACCATAATATGATTACAGTTAGTCCTTTGAAAGATGATAGTATATCTAATTATAATCATCAGCCAGTCCGCTGTGTATTCTGTGTTTTATAGCAAACTCTGGACCCCGTTTGCTTTTATTTCATCCTTTTAAGATTTGCTGCTCGTCTCATCAGAGGAGTGTTGGACTACAAGGCTCTCGTTGATGCGTAAGTTTAACCTGTAATGGACTACCTGTCACCCTGTGCCCTCCTCTGTGTTACCTCCACAGAGTAAAGTGAGTCAATACAAGACGAAGCAGAATAAGTGAGAGATAATCTGATGTGTGATGTTTCCCAGGCGAGCGCTACCAGTGGATTTTGCTCGAGGCCAGTTAGCAGGGACTCCTCTGTGCATGGAGCAGTACTACCACCTCTTCACATCATACCGCTACCCAGGGCTAAAGACAGACACGCTGAAAGTCCAGATGAATGCAGCCTCCTCTGCGCCAGAGCATATCATCGTGGCGTGCAAAAACCAGGTCAGGACGCTTGTATCCTGGGAGACGTTTGACACGCCATCACACTTCTAACCCCAGTCAGTGTCCAGTCCAAGTGAGAGAAAGTAAAAGTAAATGTTAGGATGCTTTAATATATCCAATTTATCAGTAAACACAAAATGCTGAGTGGTCTCCAAAGTGGTCAGTGCATCACGAGCCACGACTATATTTTGGCTAAAATGCCATTTGATTATCACCAGATATGTGGTTAGAGTTTCACTTAATTTAAAAGTTTAGGGTTGCTCTGAATATCTAAACTGGTTAGAAAAGCCATTTTACAACCTGCTCTATTTGAACATTTAAACTGGTCAGAATATGAAATTATTTCCATATAAAAATGTGCAGATATCTAAAGAATGAAGCCACTAGCAACAACAATGATCTTTAGGAGTAACTGATCAGGAAATATTAAACAGAACGTGTTGCACCGTGGAATGGTCATGCTTGTATCTTATCTCTCTTTCTGGGCCACATGAAGCTCCACAACAGCAGCCAGTCTTTTCTGACCTTCCCAACAAGACTCTGGAAGATGTTCTAATCATAAGCGACAGCATGAGGAAGCTTAATGCTGTGCTACAGTATGGGGGATCATATCATTATAGTTGCTCTTCCATTAGCACTATCTAATACCACAATACCCAAATTCAAACAGGAGCACAGATGAAGATATTTGATTTCTAAGTGTAGCTCTGGCCTCAACACAGCTGCTATTATTTCAAGCAAAAGATAATTTAATAAAGAAAGAAAGCAAGACTAAAGATTCCAGGTTAACGTGTGACCGTGCATTTTTAAAAGGTAGTTACAAATGCAAAATCTACATTTTGCGTTTCTCACCTAAATAGAGTGTGGCTTTAATTGTCCATGGAAAAAGGCACAGTAGGAGCTCTCACCTGGAAACGGATCTGGGAACTCTCAGTCTGTGGCACATAAGGGCCCGTCCCTATGGAGATACAGGCAGTTAACTAAATTACTGTTGACTGAATCTGCCACTTTGTCTGAGAGCTTCCTTGAGCTGCATATTTAACTGATCCCAGTAGAGGAGCCACATTTCAGGTAGCAACTGGTCATTTTTAGTCTCTGCCATTTTATTAGTGTCCTATGTGCAGTGTTATGAGGGTTATTGTGCCACAAAGCAGTGTGTTCAAGCAACAAAATATAATGCGTCTTTCAGGTGATAAGTGCAGGATAAAACTTTGAAGCAACACGAATTCTGTAATTTATTTTTCTCACTAGTTTTTCGTGTTGGATGTAGTCGCAAACAGCAAGCAGCTCAATGAGCTGGAGATCGTATCCCAGCTGGAGAAAATCCTGAAAATGTCAGAAAACGCTGAAGAGAGACTGCCTCCTTTTGGTATCCTGACGTCTGATGGGAGAACAGAATGGGCACAAGCCAGAGAGGCATTAACAAAAGGTCTCAGCACTGTTTTTTTTTTCCACTTTCAGAAGAAACAACCAAGTAATTTTCAGATGGATAATACAGACTCATCTGCCTCCTCGTCCATTCAGATCAAACCAACAGGGGCTCTCTGGCCCTGATTGAGAGCTGTATTTGTGTGGTGTGTCTGGACGAACCCAGCGGCCTGCAGCCCAGTGATAACAACAGGGCCCTGCTGATGCTGCATGGTGGCGGCCGTGAGAAGAACGGAGCAAACCGCTGGTATGACAAGTCAATGCAGGTAGGACTATATTCAAGGCATTTCAGTCTTCTGGGAACAGAGAGTTTAGGCCATTTGTTAATCCACCTTTTCTCAGTTTGTTGTAGGAATGGATGGGATATGTGGAGTGGTGTGTGAGCATTCGCCATTCGAGGGAATCGTTCTGGTGCAGTGCTCTGAACACCTGATGAAATACATGTAAGTTAGCTCGCTGTTGCAAGATATAGCCATACTCTATCTTTTTCTCCGACAACGTAAAAGACATAAATGTTGTTCTGAACAGAACAGGGAGTCCATCCAAGATAGTGAGGGCATCCAGCATCAGAGAGCTCCCCCCTCCAAGAAGACTGCTCTGGAAATACAACCCACACATCCAAGGACTCCTAGAGGCATCCAGAGAAAGGCTCAAGAGGCAAGACTGACACAAACAAACAAACCCAGAATAATATCCACAAATAATTCCACTTCTTTCTGGAGACACTAGGTCTCATCATTTGTGCTTTTTTTCTTCAGACTGGTGAACAATCTTGATATGGATGTTTTCAAGTTTAAAGCTTATGGAAAGGAATTCATCAAAAATCAGAAGATGAGTCCAGATGCATTTATACAAGTTGCTTTACAACTTGCATTTTACAAGTAAAGTATATTCTGTAGCTTTAAAGAAATCTTCCCCCATTTGCATTCAAATATGTTGATCATATGTTGTCTTTCTTTTACTTAGATGCAATAAAAGGCTTGTGTCCACCTATGAGAGCGCGTCCATTCGCCGTTTCCAAGATGGTCGGGTAGATAACATTCGCTCTGCCACCCTGGAGGCCCTGGCTTTCGTACAGTCCATGACAGATGAGAGGGCCGCATTCACTGTGAGTCGTTTTTCTCCCTTTGACCCCAGTTGATGAGCAACTCCCACATTACTGCTCATCAAGTCTGATTACGTGAAACAGGTGCACCCGGTCACCTCGGCATGCCAAACCCAGTCTCCCCATTTAACCAGATGATCTCCCTACAGATTTAATGCATGTATGAGAAATTAATTTACTGGCAGTACTCTATTTCTGCACAATGTGAAAAATGTCCTGTGTTTTACTTTTTTCTTTAAAATTATGTTTTCCCTCCTACAGGATTCAGAAAAAATGAAACGACTCAGAGCTGCTATTGATGTCCAGACAAATTATACAGTTGCAGTAAGTACAGTGTATATCCAAAATATGCTTTACTCACATCTGAAGACAAAGGAACAGTTCAATATTTTTGGGAATGCAAAAATGCTGAGAGTCAGATCAATACATCATCATGTGTATTTTACCCATTTACTGGAATTCCAAAAAACCTCAAATTGTATTTTTCATTCTTCAGCTTTCAAAAGCTGAAAAGGTGCTGGTAGGCAGACTTTTTACATTTGAGAAAAACCAGGCTGCTCCCAGTCTTTATGCTACACTAGTCACACTGCTTCCTGGCTGGAGCTTCAGATTTTAAAAAGGGATAAAGAATGGTATTGATTTACTCCTCTATCTTTTGGCAAAAAAACAAACAAGTGTGCCTCAAAAAATGCTGTTTGTCCCCAAAATGGCAGCAAGAGAAATGTTCAAAATCATTAAAAGGTGCAATCAACACTTTCTACCTCACTTATCACAGTCCACTCGGTTTGTAGCCCAAGAGCTGTCCAGGTAGTTCACTGAACATTCACCGTCTACTATGATGTGACCATTATGACGGAAAAGGTACTGTTCACCAAACAAGGGCTGGGCCTGTGAATTCCATGACTTTTCCGAAAATGCTCCATTAGCACCAAGTAAAAATGTGTTGTTCAGGCTATTACAGGAATGGCAATAGACAATCATCTCCTCGGGCTCCTGAGGATCGCAAAGGAGCTCAACATGGAAAAGCCAGAGATATTCTGTGATGAGACGTATCTGGCCAGTAACCACTTCATCCTCTCTACCAGTCAGGTAACATGTAACCCCATTCTGTTCTAATATTTAACGTGACTAACAACTAATCCAAAACAGAATCAGCAGAGTAAACAATAATAAACATCATTACAGCCCTGAGCTGATCATTTTTTCCCCTCAAGTACTAAACAGCTCTTCCTCTTGGCTAGCTAGACTGTGCCCTCCTCTCTCCAGGTCCCTACTACAGTGGAAATGTTCTGTTGCTATGGCCCGGTGGTGCCCAACGGCTACGGCGTCTGTTACAACCCACAGTCAGACCACATCATCTTCTGTGTATCTAGTTTCTGGGAAAACACGAAGACAAGCTCGGCCGTTTTTGTCAAAGCCCTGAAGGAGGGCCTGCTGGAAATTTGGGACCTGTGCAATAGAAGTAGTGCTGCAGCTACCAAAGTGGCTGACAGCAGCCAGGAAGCCAGCCAGCCTCATAAGTCAGGGAAGTAAGCCATACTGACAAAGCACACCCATTCAGCTGCTCCACTCATCACATTTAAACTTTAGATTTAGACTCCGTTGAGATGCCTTCATGTGTCTTTGTCTGTGCAGCAGTGTTACTTTCACAACAAAATTAACAGCCCTTTTACAGTTCATATGTAACTATATAGTTATGTGCAGTAAATATAAAAAATGTGGAAGAAAACTGGAAAATGATTTTTATTTTGGATCTGTGTGGACATCAGAATGATTTTTGGTTCCAGCACTGACCCTGTTTGACTCGGTAGACAGATTAAATGGTCTGCTGCCTTTAGGAAACTGAAGCCATGCCCACTTTGTAGCACTGATGTGAGGGGCAACTCCTCTGTCAGAGAGCAAATGAACTAAATGATCCTGGCGTACAATATAGCTCACACACAGAGTAGTACCACAATAGACATGACAGGATTAGAGTATATTAGACTAAATGTATACTATATTTAAGTGACTTCCGACAGTCATTCAGTGCTGGTCATGATGTGGTTCTGCCAACCATTTCAATTTGCGAGCCATTACGATAACAAAATACTGGGTCAGTCATTGTTAATAAGATCAATTTTAATGTGCCAAAGTTATTTTACTCTTGTATTGTGTGTACATTTTAGATTCCTATGGCACCATAAGGTTGCCAAAGAGGTGGTGCATATGTGACATCTCTCTAATGAGGAACTTCACAGTATATAAATATCTTAATATTGTGAATTAATAACTGTAAATATACATAGATGACTATAATTTGTGTAGAGGGGGAAAAAAAAGTGATGTGTGGTTTCAGCGGCACATTTGAAGTAGTCTAGTTGTAATGTATGTGTGCTCTGTTTTACAGCAATAGTTAACAAGTATAAAGTGTAATGAACAAATCAATTTTATAAACAAGATAAACTAGTGGTGACTGAGGCAACCCACTGTGTTCATGTGTATACGAGTGCTTAGCTGCACTTGGAGGGTAGTGATGCATTGTCCTGCTGTAGGTATTTTGTGCATAACGCTATAACAATTGAAATGAGAGCATATGTGCAGTTTATTCAAGTTCATTTATTTGTTGCATAGAGCTTGTGTAATATGAACTTGTTATTTTTGATATTCAGAAAAACTGGAGTAACATTAGAATGAATTATGGGACTCTACATCATGCATGTTGCTTTGGTCAAAAATATCACTGTACAGTGCCTCAGATTTCTCTACAAATGTATATTTTGGGTCTTGTGTTCATGCTACAGCAAATCAGTGGCCCAAAGCAGTGAAAATAAGGATATTTGTTGTCTTGTGTCCAGATGACAGTTTGTTATGTATTTGTCTATCAGTCATAGAAGTGAAGCTTGTCAAGAAAAGACAAACGGCTGCATGTTTATCTTTACATAGCAACTATAGTTTTATATCTCCACATACAAAGCCTATAAAACGACAAAGCAAATTATTATTAGCAAAGGGTACACGTAAAATAAGATGCAAACTATTTTCTTGCCAGATGTATTGTCTTATTTCTGATCTTACTTTGAAATGCTTCTATAAGTTCTCTCAGCTGACTGACAAGTATAAGATTTTAATGTTTCTCGTTATTTGGTGCATTTTTTTCTTTGAGACATTCATGAAAAGCAGCTAATAATCCCTGAAAGTAAATCGGGCTCTACTATTGTACTACAGCAAAGTATTAATGTGACCTGATAAATTAATGTGACACTCATCCATGACAACATTTTTGTGAATGGCAACTAATGTGTAATATATCATTAACACAGAGAATTCTATAAAGTCATTATTCAATGAATATTCAAATGAAAATTAACATCTGAAATTAAATGAACTATTGTATCTAATATTGAGTGTTTTCTGTTAAATTTGAAGTGAAGGGTGGGTCATTTTTCCTTAATATGTCATTCTCAGATTAGTTTGACATGGTAGAAATGAGGTAAGATTAAAAATCATGCGATGCATCTTAGTGTTTAATCAGTTTGTAGTGATTTGGTATATTGACCCTCAGTCAAAAACAATCATACATGAAATAGCTTACTAATGTTGGAAACAAATGTACTTACTTTGATTTGTTTTTAAAACATAATGCTAAGCTAACATGGCTGCAAAGTAAAGTCTAGCTGTGATGATAAGCCTTAAGTACAACTATAATTGCAAAAACAACTGGACTCATTTGCACAGAGATGTCTGTTTGTTGCATGACCACTTCACTAACACACTCCCAACAGATGGCCTTGTTCCGCCGGCATCTGATGAAATCTTCAGGGAGATACCCAAATTTAATTCTCCATTGGTTAAACCACTGAACCAAGTCGACCAAGTGCCCAGCATTAAACATTTAGTCAAGCTTCCATGAACTGGTCCAATGAAATCTGGAATACAAACTGGGCAGAAAAGAAATAACACAAGCTCATATAGATTAACAGTTCAGTGTGTTATTGGTAACAAGCGCAACACTGTCCAGTTCCAACATATTGCTCATCACCATCTCTGTATTCAGTAGCTGAGTGTTGCTGCTGAACTAAAAGGTAACAAAATTTGCATAAACACATTTTGCATTAAAGCACGTGACTTGAGCAAATTCATTTGTAAGTAAACATAAGACAACACCTACATGCTTGCAGTTATACGCTCAACATATACAGTAAGCATGCAGCAGACTCCATTTCATTTCATACAGCTGTAGGGGCCAGCAAGCTAGGCAAAGAGGACCAAGTCAAAAATGAGACATCCCAACCCCCTTGGCCACATCTTCAAGCACAGCCTGGAAGATCCAAGCCCTTCCCGGGGCAAATGTGAAATACCTGCCCTGTATGTCCTGGGGCTAACCCAGGGCATCTTTTCATTTGGACATACCCTGAAAATGTCCACAAGAAAATGTCTAATCCTCATCAGATATCCGACACAAACGGCTACGTTCAATTCACAGGTTAGGAAGGCATTCGTAGTGCTTCAAGAGACTTGTGTCAAGAATGAAAATGGAGACCAGAGAGAGATGTTAAAATCCTGGTTTCTTTCTCACCTTCACACAGCAGGCCAGTCATGGCGTGAAGTGGTGTAAATGTCAGATCGTTGGCAGTCTGTTTGTCCAGGCTGAATTACAAGTCACCTCATAGGTCTAACAGCAGGTTGTCCAGCTAGAAGTCTATCGACATAACATTAAGCTGGTTCACCTGAAGCTACTGCATTACTAGCAGCTAGTGACAAGCCTTGGCACAGAGATCAATGGCGGAAGCCCACATGGAGATGGATGATGGAAGAACATTACCGCTAATAGGTGTCTGCCACTTGCAGCCGGAGACAGAGCCTTACCTGCTGGCTGATATCGACTGGAGAGGGGAGCAGAGCTGTCCATCCAGATTCCGCCTGCTTAGAGGCCTGCCAGAGGCCAACAAAAATGAAACACCACTGAGCCCAGTTTTCTACCTCATTTGAGAACGACATAAAAGAGCAGGGGCTATGTTTATACAAGGTGTGACCCTCATACATACAAACTTCAGTCAATCAGAAACAGGGAGTTACCAATTCACTTTGTCTTTCCCCACTCCACCTTCATCTAAGATGGTATCTTTCAGCTTGTGGTCGACTGAACACCCCTGATCCAGGTAATCAGCAGCGGGTAAGGCAAGTATAGTTAGAAAACAAGCAGGGCAGTAGCCCCTGGGGACCAGGATTTCCCACTCTTGCTCTATAGGAGCACACAGGAAATGATAAGTAGCTTCAAGGCCACAGTTTGAGTTCGCCTACTCATTCAGAAGTTCTAAACCATAGACAGTGTAAGTATCTTTAAGCAGTATGGGGAGTTCTTAAAAATATTTCATTAGGCATCAGTTAATAAAGAGTTAGTTTTCTGTCCTTACAATTGACCAGAGAACATGCTCCAAAAGCCACGAACACGTCAGCTCTCACAAATCATGCCATGCGCTGTAATCACCATATAGTTGAAATGAGCCTCTGTAATTGAACACGTGCACATGAATCAAAAATAACAGCTGCAAGATTACAATCCCACTCCATTCAACAATTAGTTACACTGAACATGTCAGCTAAATGTGTTCACCACACTATTAATATATATTAGATCATTCAGCAGCCATGAGCAGTGATACAGCCATCTTTGAAAAAGAGACAGAGCTTGACATTTTTCCTCCAAAATGGAACAGGGAAAAAAAAAAAAACTTTCACCGTCTTGTGTTTCAGATATTGACATTTAAAAAGAAATTCAAAGATCGTACCACTGCCATTCTTACAATCTTTCAACTAAGGTTGAATCTAAATTAAAGCCGTCTATTCCCACTCACAAAGGAATTCTGATAATGGCCATGGTGGCATTTATGATGGAACTGCTCCCAGGGCATAAGCTACATTTACACACCATCTTGGAGCCTAATTGGGCACGAAGTGAAGCCCCATTAAATAATATGGCACAATATATAGTATCTGCCAAGAGCTGAAATCAAATACTTCCATGGAACCGGTCCCATTTAAGTTAGATGTAGATACAGTAACAGCACCGATTCTACTATGACAGAATCCTTCATGTTAAAAATCCAAGACCTTAAGTGTCATAAAATAACTTGATTGGCAACCATCATGGTTTTTTAAACAGGGAGTCAGAATTAAGATGTAGGTGAAAATGTGTTTCCATCACATAAAAGAATTGACAAAATACACAGTTCATATTTTCTGAAGAATTGCAGCACAATACGGCCCCAGTCATAATCACACATCGTTGCATATCCCCACAGTAGAACAGGCAGCTTCAAGCTCTTCGCTTCAGCGACTGTCAGCATTTTCCTCAGCTGTTTTGATATGGTATAATGAGGCTCTGCAGGGTGACAACATGACACCTATTCATCTCTAGAAAAACAGCATCTAATTTCTTTTCCTATTTACCCCCTGTTCAGTGCAGGTACCAGTTTTCTCAAGGTTTCTAAAGAATAATCCATCCACAGGCTGCATGTCAGCTGTAACACAAGCCATGATACTGTAAACGTAGTACCTAAACAGTGTTAGCAACGTATGATTCATTTTGTGATTGGAAGATCAATAACCAATTTGAAGATGACCTGGTGGAGAGGATCCAGATTGTGGGCCTGCGCTTCAATGTGCAGTGTAAATCTCAGGGGGCAGATGTGTGTCTAGGCCTGCCAGAGCTCCTGCTCTGGGGAATGATTTATGCCTCGGTCCTGCGATGTCCTGTAGCAGTAAGGCTCCCATCGAATGGCCAGGGCTAATTTGAGTGAAAGAGGTTGCAGGTTGAGGAGTGAAGAGTTGGGATCTAAGCAAAAGGATCAGAATGTTACAGCTAGAATAAGAGTAGAAAGTCTTAATTGGGGGGCATCAATCATTATCATAAGTACAGTACCAAGGCCTCTGTCTCTCTCTCTCATGCACACACATTTGCAAGATCTAAAGAGCGATAAGGAGACAAAATGAGAATCCATGACTGGGTAAGAGTTAAAGACTTTAGAAGGTAAATGGTTGTGCCAGGCCAACGTCTTAAGAGCAGAGTCAGTCATCTACAGAAGCACTGTAAAGAGACAAGCAGTTTAATGCTCTCCTCACATCAGAATAATAACCGTTCGCCCCCTGCATGGCCTCCCAGCCTAGCCATGAGCGCAGCTCTAACAGGCAATTGCATAAGTGCCAAATATGAATGGATCCATGATGACAGGAGGGAGAAAAGTTAGATGGAAAGAAGTCATTAAGAGAGCTACACTCCCCTTAAAAACCCCATCTCTGCAACACAGAGAAATTTGTAAACTGGCCATGAGCTTTGAAGGATATCTCATAATGCCTGACAAGTGAAAACCTGCACCAAGCAACTAATAGTTATACTGTCATAAGGGCAAATAAAAAGGCATGAGCTTGCATGCATGTAGGCTTTGTGGCTCTGGTCATGTGAGACACACACTTTGCAAAAGGCAATTCCCCTCAGTCTCTCAGTTCTCCAGCATATTTGTTCTGCTGCCAGACCAGACATGAGATGGAAGGTCTGTTGGTGTTAGGAAACAAGGTTATCTGAGGAGAAGCGAAAGAAAAAAAAGGTGTGCTTCATTAAGTGCTCAGTTCCCAGGTGGCCATTTGTCCCTGTAGCATCGTCCCTGAGGAGCAGAGCTGCATGGGGCTGGAAAGGGGATGAACAGAGGCCCACAGTGAGTAGCAGTAGAATCCTTGAGCGCCCAGCTGCCAGTGGCTCCATCACTCTCAGGACTGCAGTAACTAAACCACACGCCATAGAGCAGCGCCTGCTTCCCGACTCCACTACAGTGACCCATTAAGAAGAACGAATGCAGCTTCAACAGATGTGAGAATGGAGGAGTGTTCATTTGCCCATTTTCGACAGAAGACGCACAGCATACTTTGACACCAATTTCCTTCTGGTCTAAAGGTACATGAGACTTTTTAAAGCTTCCATAATGAATCATCCTTATTTTTGTGTAATTTATGATTATTTTGCCAGAATACAGTGTAAGGATCAGATCAAAGTCTTATAAAATAATCCAATACTTTCTTTCAATACAAGAAATGTAAAGGACAATGTTACTAATGTGTCCGTGTCTGAACTATAATCAAGACAGACCAGTCATCAACAGACTAGTCCATGAAAAGTTCAGTTAATGTATCCAGAAGAATTAAAGGACATTATGCATTCCCTCAGTCTTCAGGTACTACTTTTTAAATTTATCCCCAATGTCACAACAATCTAAACTGGAAGAAATAAACAAGTTCTATGGCTGTACTACCCCCACTATTAAAACAGAGTTTAAATACCAAAATAAAAAAACCAAATTACCACAAAAAAAGACATGGTGGGGAGCACACACACACACATTATAATCAATGAAGACATTATGCTGAACAGCTCAAGGGAGTTCCCTATGGACAAAAAACACCTTAATCCTTCCACTAAGAGATCTTATGAAAAATAAAGTGGCATTAGGAACCTAATGGGGCAGACAGCTGTGAAGTAATATAGTATGGCCACTTCTCACAGATTTGGCTCATGTGCATTCTGTAAATTCTTAAGCTCATTTGTGTTTATTTACTTCCAGGGGGCTGTGAAGGTAGATGGAGGAGGAGCAGGGAGAAGCGAGCCGGAGCTGTAAAGTAATGGTTCCATCTTTAATGAGCAAGTGGGGAGCGCAATATCTAGTGACAGACAGGGCACCTGCGCAGAGCCTCTGTCACAGTGGAAAGGCTCATCCTAAATCTTGCTCTTATTGCGATGAGCAGCGCGACAATATCTCACTCCAGAGACAGAACTTCAGGTTTTTATGGGTGCTTGGGTAATTGAACAGCATGAGGTAAAAAGTTCTAATCCACTTATCCGTAAAGGAAGTGTACCCAAACTAAATGACTGGTGAATTCACACCGGTATTTGGTCTTTACCCCCGTCTCTGCTGCCTTTCTCTCATAGTATTTTGTCACTGTGATATGTTAGTGAAGCAGCAGTGTTTGGCACTGGAGTAATGGCATCATCTACACTACATGTGTGCTGGTGTAAATAAGCCTGTCAGATTCATATGTAACAGAGAACTGAGGAACGGTGGCAGTGCCACTTTATAGCCCCTCAAGCCACACTTGTCAGGGAAACTGACCCACAAGACAGCTCGGACGGCAAGGACAAATGGGCTTTGTCTCTGTAGTTTACAATTACCCAACAGAGAGAAGGACTACATAGCATTTTCAGTCTCTAAAGCAGCCCAGAGAAATATCAGCTGACACAGACTCACGGCTGCTTTTGCCAGAGCTGAGGAGAATCTTACAGCATAAAATACAAAAACTGTCAGACTTTTACTTCAACAATCAAACAATCCTGACAGGTGCATAAAGCAACAAAATGTGAGAGATCCTAATATTGATTAGAAAGAAATAAATCATTTCCCAGATTTACAATAAATCACTTATAGATGTCCTGCAAATATAAATATAATTACAAATCACTTTTCTCCTTTTGCTCTGCTTTAATGTATCATGGTAATTTCAAATTAAGTACTTAAGATGAATGCAAAGATAAAGGAATCCATCTATGTACTTCTCTCAATTAGAAGCCATAAATCCCCCTAGAGTTATGATACTTGCAATCACTTTAGCATGTCTCATTTATGTTTTGATTAAAAAGGATGTCTCTGTAAGAACTGGAGGGCTTTCACAGATGAAATCCAATTAATATTCAGCATTAAGACCCAGCAGGGATTCACTTTCTAAGCAGGAAATCCTCAACCCCCTGTGCAGCCTTGCTGGCAAATCAAACGTGCTTTCAAAACACCGTAATTACAGTGTTGCCACAGAAAAACAGACTAATAAGAACAGTTTGCTTAATTTATCTGTGAACAACAGTCAAAGAAGCACATACATCCCACCCATTGTCCAGCAGCAGAAACCTCTGCACTGAGTGCTGGCAGCCTAACAGTGACAGCTCTGTAACAAGTCCAGTGCACAGCAGAGCCTAGAGGTCGACTCTGCCAGCACTTCTTTCAGAGGCACAAGTTCACATGCTCTCTCCTCTCTAGGGACAGACATGCACAGATTCAACTTGCGACACGTGACAGCCGCTTGTCTCAGGTCACTCTCCTCCACTATTCCCAGCAGTCCACCGTCACAGATTCCTCAAAAACATGTAACAAACAACTTATAATGCACTTTAAGATGTTGGCAAAAGTTTTGGACGAGGCTCTCATTCTCCAGATTTTAGCCACAAAACAGAAGGGTTGGTTGAATCCTTTTGTCAAGTTAATGTCAGCATGATGGAAAAGCCTGAGGTGCCATGGTGTGTCTTTAAAGTGCTAGTTATTCCAACAAACAGTCGAAAACCTAAAAAGATGTTAAACTTACAATGATAGCTTGTAGAAAAATTGTGCTGTTGCTACTTCAGTAATATCCAGTACAGAAAAGTAATATATCCTCATATTTGAGATTTCAGAGTAATAAATGGCTTTGGTGATTAATCCACTATCAAACTGGCTGTTGCTTAATTTTCATCTTAAATCTCTGCACCATTTCAGCACTAAATCTGAAAAGCAAAATACCCTCATTTATTTTTCTTACTTTGTTTTTCTCTGAGGAAACAACTATTGTCATGTGTTGGAATCAAATCATATCCTGAAAACGATGAAGACCAAAAGCCTGTAAAATGTCTCCTTTGATATGTGCAAGAAGCATCTGTCTCTGGCACCTTTGAAACCCAAAGAGAGACATCTGTCTGATCCCATAACATGTCCAAAGATCTTCACATATACACCTCATTCAAACACATGGCAAATGAAGTTATAATTTAAACCTTTTTAAAGCAAAATAAATGTCTCATATTCCCTAATAAGCTTCCTGTTGCACTTTGAAATCTTTGCCAGGGAATGGAATATATTTTTCTCTTTTTGAAATGATGATTGGTCTAGTGTGGACATGGAACAGATGGTGTTATCCACCTCATGGGTAGTAGGAGGTGGAAGGAGCAACAAGTGTGCAATTAAAGGCCTGAAGAGATTCCTTCAGTTCAAAACAGATGCAGAAAGTAAACCAATTCAGCCATATACTGCAAAATTAATAGTTCATACCTGATGCAGAGTTGAATCTAGTGTCCTGATAGATTTTAAAATTAAATCAGCAAGTGCACATGAAAGATAATGAACAGTTCATGCAATTTTAAGGGGTAAGCAATAGGTGGACTGTCCCCTAATGAACAGTTTCTGCATACACATTTCAGAGGTAATCATCCTACAGCACTACAATTATTTATCTAGCAGTTTTTTCCCCTCACTAAACTAATGCTGAGAAAAGATTAATAATAACTCAAACTGGATTTCAAATGAGTTTAAATGAAAAATTATGCAACACATGTTGTTAGCAGCACATTATTTTTGCTGTACATCTTTCAAGAGCTTTTTCTACACAAGATGGCATCGCAAATGGACTACTCCTTACTTGTGTGTGCAAGAAGCGATGGCCTTGCTCCGTCTTTCGTTCAAGCTGAGTCAGTATCAATCCTATATCTAATAACAGTAGGAGCAAAAATAACATCCCTCACTCAATCCTTGACCTTACAGCGCGAGCAGTCTGTTTGGTTAAAAGGTACAGCTATCACATAAAAGTGGATTTTTCTTTTGGATCAGTTGTCATGGAAACCAAACTAAACAAAAATGGCAACAGAAAACAGTCTAACAATTAATTGCTGTCATGGACTTATACCCCTCCCTCTCCTTTAAATAAGCCCATATTTAAGGGTGTTCTTGGCTACAGGCTGTTTAGACCAATAAAAGACAATGCAAGCAGGTTTTCAAAGCAGCAAAGGAACTGCCTTTGGGCAAGGAACTATCTCAGCACGCGTAGAGCTGGAGGAGAGACACAATTACCATAAAACGATAGGGTCTATGCCACTGCTGAAGCGCCACACAGGGCACAAAGGAAGTGGTGAAACATTTACTGTAGGTCACGCCGAGTTCAAATTCACACAGATACACCAGTGCAAGCCGAGGATATCACAGATGATATATCAGTTTGTTAACAAGAATGGCACAAATATGCATTAACAGTGGATAACAGAGCCATGTCTGAAATTAAAAAACAACTTGCCTGCAAAAGACTAATGGTTCTATGATGGTTATGTCACAAGATAAAGTTACCGTCATCTGGACCCTGCTTTGCAGCTTTAAAATCACATGCTAATTTTATCTGCCTTGCTTAAGTATGTAACTACAACTATTAGTTTTAGATTCACTGTTAAGCTTGGCTGACTGTGAAGTCTCTGTTGCTCCCATAAGCTAGCTGCTATAATGATAATCACTTTAATTTGGCCAAGTATGTTATAGACACAAGGAATTTGTCTCCATTTCAGAACTGAGGCAACATCTGCGGTGCCATTGGTGCAACCTGGGGTTCAGTGTCTTGCCCAAGGACACTTCGACGTGCAGACTGCAGGCACCATGAATCAAGCCTCCAACCTTCCAAGTGGGGAAACGGCTGCTCTACCCTGGAGCCATAGCCGCCTACAAAACGGTAACAAGATGCACCTGTGCTGAGAGTCTTGGCAATAAACACTTCTTAATAAATCTCTGCAAGTGCATAGATTAATCAGAGTAGGCAGCAAATACAACCACCCCAGAGTGAGCTTTTGGATGTCTAAAATATAACAGGTGATTCTGTCACACTGCAAAGGTTTTAAGTGAACGCCAGACAAATACAGTGACCCTATTTCTATTTAGCTATTAGCAGTAAGGACCTTTACATATCTCTGCTTGAACCAATAGAGTAAAATGCAATAATTCATGACTAATGTTTGAAGATATAATCAGTTGCAAATTAGCTCCATCATACATGTACCCTGATGCCCCAGGTGTATGTGCAGCATCCATCTTTTTTCATAAAAAAAGATGGATGCTGCAAAAATTATCATGGAAAGGACAAAGTATGAATAATTAGCAAAACAGAGCTAATGACAACAAAGTATATTTTTGCTTTATGTCTTCAGTCCAAACAAATGTAAGCCAAAGCTCTCAGGGTTTCATCAAACATATCAATATTCAGATGATAACTGCTTTAATCTGTGGCCAAGAGAACCTCACAGAATTCCTCCAAACTCCACAGGGGCTTTCCAAGTCTAATTAAAAATCATAAGAATATACAGTATGAAGTAGTGGATAATAAATTTCAATTGGCCTTCCCATTTATAATACACTACATGAGCAGAGTTGACCTTCTTGGATGGAAACAAAGCAAAGGAGGAAAAATGATATGGCAATATCATTGTAGAAGCCAATGCTTAACTTGTTCTCTGGGGTCCACTGATAATTCATATAATATGCTTGTATATGTATGAGAACTTTGCATTATTATAGCGCTGTCTGTGTGATCCCTCAATTCAAATGAATGAGCGCACTGTACCTAGTTCTCCACACCAAACCCCAGCTCCTATTTCCAGCACACTGCTGCACTTCTTGATGTTCAATACAGCAATGCAAAAAAACTGGAACATTCTTCCTAGCTGCAGAAAATACATTTTACAATACCAACTACATTTCTCTTGGTTTAGTAGCTATCATCTGGTTCATAGTTGCAAAATTAATCTATAATATGTCCCGTGTCAGTAGCATGAAAATAAAAATCACAGGTTTTACACTTTTGGGAGGCACTATTCAATAGCGCTCTGTTTTATTTCCAATCTTACCATTTGCCATTTTTAATCAAACCCTAAGCAAACACCATCACCAAAATATCCCTATTAAAGCTTCAGTACAATGTGGGGAGCTTTAGGTAAAAAAATTAATGTATTCATTGATGGAAAGAAATAATTTACAGTCTTCCAAGCAGCTCTGTGAGGCCAGATTTAGGGACAACAGTACTTTGAGCTAAATATTACTGTGAGCATATTTGCTAACATATGGATTCTAGCAGGTATGGTCCCTATTTCAACTTGGTTGTGTGTTAGCATGCTAGCCTTTTCTTGTTAGCCTGAAACACAAAGTACAACTGAAGATGATGAGAATTAGTTAAATACAGACAAAAGTGAAATTTTGTCCCGATGACTTTGCTATATGGAAACTGGTGCCATTACAATACATCCTGAGGAGGGCAAGAATGTCTGTACCACATTTCCTGACAATCCATTAAACAGTTGAGACATTAAAACAACAACAGTAAAGTCAGTAGGATTCACTGTCTAGAAACCATCAATGTTTGTACCAAATTTGTGGCAATGCACTCAGAGGTTGAGATATTTCACTGAAGAGGTGAAAGCTTTTACCTGCTGGTGGCGCTAGAGGAAAAGTCAGGGGCCATTTCACTGCAATCCACCAAACATATTTCATGCCCACATTCCAGTCTGGAAATCCACACCACTAGCACTGCTAAAGACAAAACAATTTACTCCAGCAAAACCAACAGCAATTTCTATTAATGTTATAAATTGGTAGGTATAAGCTGACACTGTGAGGAAAGAACAATTACAGAAGATCTTCAAAATCAAACTGTATTCCCTCCCACCTGCAAACTCCACTACTTACCATTTCCATAACCAATCTGCAGTAGGCAATCATGTTTAAAAGACTAAACACTGTTCATGTTTGTGACTTGATGAAAGATGGTAGTCAAAAGGTCAAAGACAAAAACGGGGCTCACCGCAGAGGGATCAGTTCAGGAGGATACCCCTGTGTGTCTATGGTGGGTCCCCTTGGGAGAGAACGCACCAAAAGGCTTTTTTTTGAACTCAGCAAGCTACAAAGAGAGACCACCTACATCTCCCCTGATTCCATGAAAACAGACAGCACCAAGCTTAGAGACGCCTACACCTCATTCACTGAGGCTCCCAGGAGTCCATTCAATACTGTGCACTCTGGGTACAAAACTAATTTAACATTCAGCTAAAAATATTTAATCAATAACCTGCTGACTGGGTAATCTGTAAATTGACAGATAACAGCTCATTAGGCATGTAACTAAATAATCACACAGGGAAAAGTCACAAGGTGGATCACTGAAATAATTAACCATACATTAAGGTAAAAAGATCACATCAATACAGGCGGCGAATAAACATTTTAGTATGTACAGTATAATTGACTGTCTTTTCAATATTGTAAATGATACATGTCAGATTGTCTGCCAATTATAGTTTTGCCTACAAATACCTCAAAATATGTACGTTGCCTAAACATTTGTCAAATGTCATCAAACCTGGATACAAAGTTCCATAGACTGACATTTCCATCAGGCAGCTTCTTATTAATGCAAATGAAGGTGTGTTTTAACAGACAGACGTACCACACAGAAGCCCCACTGCCTTGCTCTCACTTTTCATTAGTGTTCTATAATCTACATTTTACTTAATGAGGTGTCATGTACAGTTTATATAAAAGATATGACCTTATTAAACTGTGAGGGTTAAGAAAAGATAAATGGCAAGACTGAACTGAATTTGCCTGTGACATCCATGGGACAAGAGGGCCTCACTCTGTTCATAGATGTCATCTGTGGCTCTATTCAAATGGTGAATCTGAATATGCTATATTAAACATGTTAATATTAAACATACTCAAAACTGGTTCTTTTTATTATTGGCTTAAGAAACAATCTGTCAAAATGTTACATTTTCACTCAAGTGCAGAAAACATTCAGATTTACAGTGAGATCAATTATAAACAAATGAATCTTTTAACTACAACTGGATTCCCTGAAATGTGCATCGCATGCACAAAAGAACCCACAAAATGTATTGATGGACTTTTAATAGTAACTAAATAGTACTATTTTTGCCATAAATGCAAAAGCTGAGAGCCTATTTCCCAAAAAGCCAAGGTGCTCTTTAAATCAAACTGTCTTCATGAGACCACTTCAAGCTTTCCAAACCCGATCTTGTAATTCTTCTCCTTTAACTTGATTTTTGACAGCCAATTCAATTAGGCTGGATATATGTGGGTGTAAAAAAAGGAAACATGACAAACTCGAAGATGGATGGCAACCTTTGCTTCACCATTTAAAAAAAAAATAAATAAAATAAAAAATTGCAGTATATTGAAGCTCAATCCATTGGCATATTACCAGCAACAGCAAAATGAAAAGAGCTTGATCTCCAGTGCCAGACAGGGTCATAGCTAATCACCTTCTGTGGTTCGGTTGCTTTTGAAAAGGATCTGCATGCTAGATTTTCATTTTGGGCTGCCATTGGTGAAGACGATATTTGGTATACTCTTAACTAAAAGCTTATCTAACAAAAACTAAAAATGAAACTGAAGGCAAACTGAGAATGTTTTAATTTGGTGTTTCGTTTTCCAAAGGTAGGGCACAGTGACTCATCAGCCACCTGACCTTAACGGCTGTCTGCAGGGACGTGTTGTCTGGCCAAGCCCCTGTTGGAGTCGCTGGGCACATGGGAGGAGCTGACCTGTTGGTAGATGAAGGAGTAGAGATTGACGTCAGGGCGCCGACCGAGACAGCTCTTGCACACTGTGCTGTAGTACCGCCCCAGCAGATCATACACCTCCCCTGTGATGAAGACAAGGAGAATGTGTTAGTCGTTTACTCTCTACAGTAGAAGGCAAGTATAATGTGGACATGTTTACAGGATCAATAATCAGCCAGCATTCTGTTCTAAGATCAGGTAATTTACAGCTAAATTCTAAGAGGGAATATTATTCCAGTTAACCAAGTTATTATTTCATGCAGCATATCCTCGGCAGTGCAAATCAAAAAAAAAAGTGCTCAAAAGAAACAGTTGCACATCAACAAGATGCAGGCAGGATGGTTGTTTGCTTTACCAACACTGATGTTCCTCTGACTGAGAAAAGTGTGCATGTTGTGGACATCTGTCATGAGCTGGCTGTCACCAAAGGTGAAGTAGGCCACATCTCGGCCCGCCTCAGCAGCTGCCAGCATCTGGAGCAGAGCTGGAGGAAAAGAAAGGCTGTGTTAAACCACAACAACAAGATTTGTTCACACAATTTCACCTTCTTAATTGTAAAATTCAGTAGATGATATTACTACGAAAGGTAAGAGGCACTAGCCTCTGTGGCATGTACAATAAAAGGTAAATTGCAATAATAGAGCTCACCCCCACAGAAAACTCTGGATGAGAAACAAAGAGAGGCCAAGTCTGGCCCCAGAGAGCTGTGAATATTTTAAGAGACTGGAAATATGTCTGCTGATTAATGAAGTTTGGGACAGTGGAAAGTTAATGAGCAAAACTGAATCAACATTTTCAGAATAGGGCTAAGATGAATATGTCCTCACTTCAGCGGTTTCTCTCCTGCTCCATTTTAAATGCTGTTTTCAAAAATCATTTGACAATTAAAAATAGGTGGCTGCGTGAGGCCATGGAAGTTAAACCCAGGAGGAGAACAGCATCTGAATTATGAAGCTCTTCCTGGGAGACATTTCATTAAACAGACAGTTAGTGATGGCGCCTATGATGGACTATACCCTGCTAATTAACAAATATGCATGGCTGTGTGCACAGTTTGCAAGCACAAGGGCTCTAAATGGGGTAGAAAGTGAGAAGCAGAGCTGCTACTGCAACTGGTTAGCATAAACTCTCCTGAAGCTCCCTGCTCAGTGCTGGTGACACAAGGCTCAGACAAAGTGCTGCAACAGATTGATGGACTCCAGCAGGCGATCAATTTCGCTATTAATGGAACATATTAACTTTGTCATTTGATCAATATAAGGAAGGTGACGAATAAGCCTTAAGTAAATGAATGCATTCCTGGATGACAAATGGATGCCCACGCTGATCTGCAGAAGCTTTACAGTCTGAAATGCATTGCTGTATTCAGGTAGAGCCACTTAAAAAGCCAACACAGCACATTTCTGGGTAAGATCTACTGATGATGGCGTTACATCATTGCTTACCTTTCAGACGTGCATCACCTCCAAACACCCCACAGCCCCAGTTCCCTGTAGCCACAGCTGCAAGGTTTTGGCTTCGCTCCTCAGGGCGGGCAAAGCCACAGTAGGCCTGAATGAAGACAGAGTAAAAGGAGGCAGTAAATTAGGACAGAAAAGGAAAACACAAGTCATTATGATAGGACAGGCGTTCTGTAGCAGACACTTCATATAACACAGAGGAGGCAAGTAACATTTTCCTTGTCCAAAATCATTCACTTTCCTCTCCATGGTAAATGCTTTATAGTTTACTCAGTAGGGAGCAGCACATACAAAATGATCATCATAATACATTTTACAAATCATGTCATTTCTTAAATTCACACCTATTCCCTCAGTCTCATTCCCACTGGTGTGAAACTGATGTGGCTTTTACATATGGACAATCCCAGACTAAACCCATGTGCATGAACAAGAACATTTGACGCCACATGTAGGATGGCTCTTACATCACATGAGAAATGTTGAATATAAGATCTAAATGGGGCTGGACATTAATTTTCCCATTAGAAATTAAGTGAATAGTGAAAATGAATTGTAAGAGCCCATCCTCCCCATGACAGTTTATAAATTCTTCTTGTGAAAGGGCAGATATGACAGTTAGCTGAACAAAATTCGAAGCAGGATTGATCTTCATGTTGATGCATTCTTCACACACACTTGTCAGAGTTGTCAAACTCCTTTACGCTTTCTGATGGCAGGCTTGACAACATCAACAACTTGATTTTCTATTACAGATGGACATCCCTATGTGGGATCATTGCACATACAGATGGATTATTTAAAAAAAAAAATAGTTAAGTAAAAATAATAATTGTGATTAATCACCCTGAGGTCAATTATGTTAATTAAAATTCATTCTGGGCCTAATGGACATTGAAATGAATAGGATTAAGCCTATTTCTACATATGATAATCCATCAGTCTGAACAACACAACATTATTCAAATGTTTATCCTGATAAAAGTAAACAAGTCTATGCCATCTCAGCCAACATTTGTATTGAGACCAATTATCAACAAAATGGACTGATAACAAAAAGATCGTGGTAGCCGGCTCTCACACTTCCACTGCCAAGAATTATAAAAACCATTTGTCTAAAACAAAAAACACTTATTAGCACTCGCTGTACAGTTGCTAATACCCACTTTCAAAAACCTAGCATCATGTTTTTGCTCTCAGGTATTTTACAGTCTGATCTACAGTGTCAAGTACAACAGCAAAAGGAGCGTGCCCTGCAGAGTCAAGAACCTGAACAGGAGGACAAAAACACTCAAGCAGGAAGAAATACTCTTAAAGTAAAAAACAAAAACAAAAAAACACCTTGTTGAGTTCTCTGTTGATTTTGTCCGGATGAAACTGTTCAAGAAAGTTTCTGAAATGCAGTGCGTCAATGGCTACAATCTCTGTGCATCTTCTCTGCCAGCCATCTCTGAAACAAATCAAAGAAATGGTTTGGCACTATTTTACCTACAACAACATTAATGGGTGTTAGTCAAACAGGGCAATGATTTATCTTAGCTCCATCCATGTCAGAAATAAGAAAGCAGCAGAAATAGTCAAGATAAGTGAAACTGTCCTCCATTGAGTCATGCCCTTAATAGTGCTAAACTATTTGTAACTCAAGGGTTTAAACATAGCATTTAGTTATTATTTAAAGCATCTAGGAGTAATAAATACCTAGGAGTTGTGTCCTGGTGGCTACCAGCCCACTGATAGGTCTGAGCATAGCCGGTGTATTTACTGTACTGCTCCGTACCTGGCGGTAATAAACAGGGACGTTAGTCATACACCATGGCAAAGCGTTGTCATAACATTAATGTACATTTTTAAACATGGTCAGAATGAAAAGAATAATGTATGTAGCAAAGCTGCAGTTCAGGTAAAATTACAGTGATTTAATTGGCACATAAAATTCAGCTCAGTCACCAATGAAGCTAAATAAAAACATTGTTTATAGGAAATAAGAAAAGGCTTTCACTTCTGGTGTAATAAGCAAA